CCATGCTTCCTCCACAGATCAGCATTTGAGCACGGAAGTCCATCAAATGCTGATTAGGGTCTTGAGTTCCGTCAAAGGGCTCCACTTGAGGTATGCGATGATCCCTAGGGATGGCCTCGACCTCTATAGCTTCCGAAAAAGGTCAAAAATCCCTGGGGACTTCCAGCATGACATCCTCCTCTACCGTCCTGGCGCTAGCTTCTAACCTGGCCTCCATCTCATCCGCTCGCCTCCTGATCGCCTCATTCTCACGTTGAATGGCTTCCTCTCTCTCCCTAGAACGCGCATTCTCTTCCCTTAAGCCATTGATCATGGCCATCATCTCCTCCATCGTTGGAGGTTGTGCGCTATTGTTGTTGTTGCCGCCTCTTGCCATGGTAGATCGCCGATTCTTCTCTGGGACTTGGGGCGTAGGAAGAGTTTTACCGTAGCCCCACGGTGGGCGCCAAAATGTTCCAGCCACGGGATGAACTAGGGTTTTTTCCAGGTCAAACCGCAAAGCCAGAGCATTCAAAAGTGTAATCTGCCGCCTTAACTCTAGGGTTTTGATTTTTATAGCATGTCGTTAGTGGGCCTCTTGGGCCCCGATGATAGCGGGATTTTCCTAACCGTTATTATCTCGAGGGCGCGGGAACAAAAGGAACAACTACCCACGGTTCCCGCCCGATCGGGTCCATGCCGAGGGCCCAGTCGGGCTCTGATGGATTGGGTCTACGTCCAAAGACCGGTCGGGTCTCTACCGGGTGACCCTCTCAGCCCTTGTGAACGATAGAGGGGTCGAGTTCCCCAGGTCCAGTCGGGTACCGACCGGCTAGGCCTATATTGAGCCCGGGAAAAATTACTCCTTATGGGGTTTGTTCGTTCTTCCGCCGACCAGGGAGGCGGGTCGGAATTCGGCCCGGACGGTACACTCATCAACTATGAGTTCTTAAGCTACTTTGAAAAGTGCTTATAACGGTGAATAGGCGCTAGCTATCGTGAACCCACGTATAATATGGTTCATGGTGAATCAATGCACTGTACGTACGTAGCAAATTCACATTGTCCATGCATATATGTAAATTATAAAATATCCTTACTAGTTGATTTACATTCTTGTTTAACTTTTGTAATAATGTGATAACACGTATATATATTTGTGAGTGTCAGCATTAAAGGCAAGGTCACACAAATTAAAACCTTTTGATGGTTGTCTAAGCATGCAGGACTTTTGGTAGCAGAATAAGAAAAGGTGGCCTAGGTTAGTAGAAAAAAAAAAATAAAAATCCACATGAAATGGCGATGAAATACGGTGTTGATAATTGATATCATAGTCGAAGCCAAGGGAAATTATTGGTTAATGGTTAAAGTTGAACTCACTCTAATCGCTTTTTTTTTTTTTGTGATGAAAAAGGAGGAAAAGCAAGGGGGGGAAAAGGGAGGAAGAAGGAAACTGCTTGCTTTTGGAAAATCGTGGTTTATCTTCTCCTTTATAAAAGCATGTGAGGATGTCGTTTATGTAGTGTCATACCTTTCCCTATGAGGTTGGAAGGGGCAATTTGAACACTAGGCTATTATATTTATATACGACTTCATTATTATCGAGGTTGAGGTGTAAGGTGTGTGATACATACTTGCTTTTTGTTAAACAACCCTATTTAGCTAACAATAACTTTTCTTTTCCCAAACAAACAGGATAAGGTTCATTGCTTATACATACCATTATATGCAGTGGATAGATATATTCTAAATTTGATCAATATGTTTCACTCTTAATTAAGGAACCCTCCGGTGGCAGATAATTTATAATGGATTCAGACATAATCTGTATATATAATACACATGTCAGAAGAGCCAATTGAGCTAACTCATGTCGGCATTTTGCTTTAGTCTACTACTTTACTATATGTTTTTTCTTTTGATACAAAAAGTTAAGGATATGGAGTTTTCTTAATTTAACATCTTTACAAATCCACAAGTCTAAGAATTTACCGTTTGGGTTATATATTTGTTTTTAGTGAATTTCATTAAGTTGATTTTTTTTTATTCAAATTAGCAATTTATTTATTTTTAATTTCAATATATATTTTTTATCGTTAAATTATAATTTCTATAAATAATTTAATTAATATCATAAAAATTTGTTCAATTATATAAAATTTAATAGTATTCGATAGAACCGATCATTCAAGTTAGACACTAATTCAATGTTAATAGTTCAATCCTGGTTGAATCATAAATTGATATTAATAAAATAATAGTAATTATTATAATCAATAAAGAAATAATATTAAATTAATATAATATTATAATTTTATAATGCTAAATATTAAAATAAAATATTGTTTATAAATTCTTAATATTTAATATATATATAAAATTTTAAATTATATATAATATAATATTTAAAGTTTAGTTTTAATAAAATACAACAATATTCACTAATAATAATAAGTTCACATCTAAAATAAAAAATATTAAATTAATATAATATAAAATATAAAATAAATATATTAAAAATTGTAAATTAATATATATTATTTACGAGACAAGTATTAAAAATAAGTTTTTTTTATTGAATATAATTTTTATTAAAAATATTTTAAATTAAATTTGAAAATAAAAATACTTTTAACTAGGTCGGTTCAAACCAATTTGATCTTTTTTTTTTATTTTTTTTATTATCAGTTTTGGATCAATTCTACCCAAAAAAATTTATTAATTCAATGTAGAATAATTTTTTGGCCGAACCAAATCGATTAAAGATCAATTTTCAGTCGAATTGCTCTGACTCACTAGTTTGTTCTGGTTTTTACAACAATGATAATGACAAATTGATTAGCACATATTTCAATAAAAAAAGACCATATCATGAAGACTAAAAGGTTAAAACAAAACTAAAAAAAAAATAAATTATACTAATATTATAAAAAGAGAAAGAAAAAAAAGTGGCACAAAAAGTATATACAGATCTCTCAAAATCGAAAGTCACATATGAGAATATGCATATTGGTATAAAGGAAGAGTTTATGTAAAATATTTTTTGACACTCAATAAAGACTCTTATTTGAATATTTGAATATTGTTTTTGTTTGGGAGACATGAAACAATAGAAGGGAATGAAAGAGAAAAGTGAGAATTAATTTGATAAAAAAATAGATAAAAAAATTGTAACTGTTAATAAAGTAGAATTATGTGAGAAATAGAATAAAATTAATATTTAATATAAATAATATTTATATAAATCAAGAGAAAGGTAACTCAAAAATACTATATAAAAAAAGACTAACATAATTGGAATCAAATTCCACACACTTTTCTTCATTTTTGTGGAAAATGTTTTTTTTTTAAGTGGAGTCCACAAAAAATTACCATAGTTGTCTTCAGTTTTTTCTTATCAAACACGTTCAATTTTTCAATTTTCTCATATTTTCTACACTTTTTTTCTACTAGTTTCCTCCTAATTAAGCATACCATTAAAAAAAATTAACTTATTACTTCAACTCTTTATAAGCTCCCTTTTTTATTTTATTTGATAAAATAGGTTTTTTTCTTGAAGTTAAAAAATCACATATAATAATAAGTTAATTACTTATATATAAATTTTTTTTACACTCACAATCGTATCTTTTTAATAATATTATGTTATTTACTTATTTAATAAAATAAAATAATTTAAAAGATATGATAGATTATTAATATAAAAAAATTTATTCGATAATATATGAATGATTAAATTTAATAATTATATATGTTCAGGTCTAATATTCTCTGAGCATCTCATGCCACATTGCCACCCTTATATCTCATTAATAGTGTCAGATATACACTTACCAATTCTTCTCTCAACAAAGTATTTAAGTGTTACAACAATTCAATCATACAACAATTCAATCATACACAGCATACAAAGTCAAAGTCAGTCATCTCAAACCGTATCGCATCCAACTTCTCAATGTTTGTACTTTTGAGCAGAAAGTTGATCGCATTAATAATGAGTTACCAACTCCCCATTGTTATGACTTTTACGTTTAATTAGTACAGCAACTGAGTGCAACATATGCTTATTTTTTAATATATAAAAGCAGTATACTATATTTTCCCAATACTCTCTCTCTCTCTCTCTCTCGTATAAGGAATCATATAATTATTCTCAAACCAACAACCACACCAATTACATGTTTCGCAAGGGCATTCACGAATCACGTCTTTATCACAAGAATATTGTAGAATATACCCACCATCAAAACCAGAAAACCAATATGCATAAATATATCCAAGATTCTACCCTTATTCTTAACTAATTAAAAATAAACATTGTGTGTATTGCATTTAAGAGACGCCCTTTAAAATCCAACTTTCCTAATTTCTACGTAGAATATTAAGATTTCTCTAGACTCTTGCTATAATCAAAATTCGCCAGCCATACGAAATTTTAGACACCTGAATTTCTTAGCTTTGCCTCCATAGAATTATACATATATACATGCAAGCTCTAAGGTTGATGTTTCTTGGACACCCAAAATGGAGATACATCTTGGGTGTCCAAAATCTTTTTCCAAACACTAACTCTACACGTAAAGTCGTAGGCAATGAACAAGGAATGAACACAACCATGTTAAGAAAAGCTGGACTTGTGAGCTAATAAAGTACTATCTTCTATGTAACCTTTTTATATTTTGTAGAGTAACGTTATTTTCACATTATGTTTTCACAATTTTTAAAATAGAAAAAAAATAAAAACATGAGATAAAATAACTGATGTGGAAAAACAAACAACAACATTGAAAGAATAGACCAGAAATAACATTAATTTATTTTAAATGCAGTACGGGATTTTTTAATGCTGTCGCACTCAGTGTGTTCCTACAACGAAGTTAGCAAGTAGACGGTTCAAAAGAGTTTGAAGAAAAAGTAAAAGTTGCGATTAGTTTTATTTACTGTAGCTTTTAAATTTCATTTTGTTATCTTAGGCCCAGCATTGCTTTTATAATTTGTTTGCATATGGGAGATTAATAATGATATTAATCAGACAACTTAGCCAGTGAGTTTTCAGATGTATCTCTATCTATCTATATATATATATTTTCAATTCTGAGCATCAACTGAGGGTCTTTCGTGGACTGACCAAATTCCAAGCTTGCAGATTCTACCAAGCTAGCTATAGTATAGGTTGGTGCTCTTCCATCTGTTGCAGTATTAGCGTTTCGTTTGCTTCCAATATCGATTCATTGTCGTTTTGAGCAGAAGCTTAATTGGACTCAAGTGGGTCAAACACTAGTACTTTGGATGATTTCTGTTTGTTTCTAGAAAAAATTTCAAGTCATGCATGACGTTAAATTTCCTTTGACAAAATGAGTATGATGGTTTTGATTATTCATTATTTGAGTTGGACTTTGTTTTAATTACCTTTTTATGTGGTTGTCTCTGTTGATCTTTTTCCATTTTCGGCTGCTGGAACAAATACTTTAGTGTTGTATATGTTGCTGCAAAGTGCAAACAGCTGATACTACTACTCTATATTCCTTTTCTTTATTATTTTAGGGAGAAATTGGAATCAGAATTAGGACTACCCCTGTTGGTTATCGCTTTTCAGACTTCGACCTTATCATTGTGATTTAATTTAAGATAGCAGCAAGTCTCTTGTTTGGTGATAAGTAGCATCAAATTAATATTTTTTAATATTATTATTATGTAGAGAACTCTTGTTTTATCATTTGGCCGTTGCAAGAGATAAATGAAAATGGACATATACGAGCCATTTCAGCAAGTTAGCATGTGGGGGGACAGCTTTAAAGTTAATGGTGGCCTGAATTCAATTGCTTCCCCAATTTTAATGGTTGACACTAGTATGGAGAATAAGGTAAGAAATTTTTTTTTTTTGGTAGATCAACTTAATTTAATGAGGAAACTAAACTAGACTATAAGTCTTTAACAGTATTTTTGAATTTCAATCTCCAGTCTGAGTATATTCCTCAAGAATCAAGAGAGCCTTCTGGAGCCGATCAAGAGACTACTAATAAAGATGTTAATAAGGTGATGAAATTTCTTCAGGACATGTCTCATCTATGCATATATAGCCATTGGACTGTGTTTCTTATCTCTTGTTTCATTGTAAATTATTGTTAGTATTAAGAAGTATGAAGTATGAACTTGAGTCAATTTGAATACAAATTTAGAATGAAAAAAAAAAAAAACTTTTTCAATAGAGAAACTCTCAAAAACACTTTTAGTTTATATTTAAATAGGCTCTTTGAAAGGTTTCTCTCAAACATGAATGATTTTGTTGTTGGCTACTTGTTTGTGTCTGACATTATGTTATGGCTATTCATGTGTAGATGTTAAGACGCCTAGCTCAGAATCGAGAGGCCGCTAGGAAAAGTAGGCTGCGAAAAAAGGTAGGATGAATGAAATTACAAGAAGGTAGTCAGTAATAGTATCTGTCTTCTGATTTGTACTTTTGTTATACATAGGTTTATGTTAAGCAATTAGAATCAAGCCGCTTGAAACTATTGCAATTGGAACTGGAAATTGAGAAAGCAAGAAAGCAGGTGAACCAAACCAAAACTCAAATCATCACATTCAATTTTGCTTTTTATTGTGAATTTGTGAGTTTATATTCCTCTATCTGTCATGTTGAAGTATATACCAAAATATCCACTTGCAGGGTCTGTACATGGGCACTACGTTAGATGCCGGCTATATAGGGTCATCATCAGAAACAATAAACCCAGGTTTGTGATTCTTTTTGTAGTTATAATCTTTCTTAAAATGCCTTCCTCTTCTTCTTCTTCCCATTTGTTCTTCTCTCCTTGTAATCGAAGAACTTGAACTAAGTTTTTATTTTTTTATTTTTTATTTTATGTTTCTATATGATATGTAAATTAATATTTTTCTTGTCTTATGCAGTAAGCAATATACTAGGCATCTAAGTGATTAAACCTGTAATGAATCTACATTTCATTTAACTGTGTCAAATTGCTTTTGCAGCAGGCAGGTCTCAGTGAATTTGATAGAAATACATCATTATTAATCAATGAAAATTTCTTTTCCATTTTAATAATGTCATGCTTGCTTAACTATAGTTTTAGACCCCTCCATTGGAAGGTGCTTCATTTCTTCCTAGCCCTTTTATAAATCAGAGAGTTGAAAGGAAGATCCCGAAAAATTTATCAAGGAGGGCTTGAGCTGATCATGATTCGTCATTGCTTTAATGCAATTATAATCTTTCATGAATTTCATGTCTTGGTGCAAGTCCTTCAGATTTCATGTGCATATGGGGTGCTATTTTTCTTGACATGTCAGACTAAAGGTGAAGAATGAGTATAATGCCCCTTCCATTGATGATCCTGCATTTGACATCCCCTTATGGATTCTATAGTTCTTTTGTTTCATTATGTTTTACCTTTTCCAAGTGACAAAATTTGTTGATTTGTATATGTTCACATTTCTACCAACAAATTATTTACAACTTTATTTCTTTAACTTCTAAATAGAAATCCCTGCATCTAAAATTGCTATATGCATTTTGTGATTCTATCAAGTGTTCTTACCATGCTTCAAAAGGAGAAGTGTTCCGTTTCATGATTCGAACAATTTTAATGACCACATGTTATCATAATTATCGTTGTTGAGGGTGTTAACCCTTTTCCACTCTAGTAACATTTTCCCTTTGTGTATGAAGCATTGTGCTTATTGCTTGTTACATTCTGCTAAGTGGTCCTTCGGTTATATGAAACAGCAATTGTTGCTTTTGAATTTGAATATGGACAATGGGTTGAAGAGCAACAAAGGCGGAATGAAGAACTTAGACATGCATTTCAAACGCAAGCACCTGATGCACAGCTTCATGCACTGGTTCAGAGTGTCTTAAACCATTACTCAAGTCTTTTCCGAATGAAAGCAGATGCTGCAAAGGCTGATGTTCTCTACTTAATCTCTGGTGTGTGGAAAGCATCAGTGGAGCGCATTTTCCTTTGGATTGGAGGGTCCCGTCCATCACAGCTTCTAAATGTATGTAACATACACTAGAATCTATTTAGACATAAGTTAGAAACGCATTTGAGAGTTTCTTTACTGAAAATAAATAATATTTTCTAATAAAGAGACTTTCAAAAATGCTTCTAAACTTAAATTTGAATAGATTCTAAATCTGCTTACCCTTTTCATTGATTTTGAAGAATGAGTTCTATATCAATTTTCATTTTTCTCAAGCTACTATCTACTTGAATTTCAGTTAAAATTTCATAACAAGAGTTCAGTTGTTATGTTGTCACTTTGATGTTTAGAACAAAAATATAGTCTATCTATTAAACACAACAAATAGCATCTTTTCATCAGATTTGTTGCTTGGATTTCTTCATGACAAGACTCGTACTTTTCATGTCAATGTCATGGTACATTTTAATTTTCTTACATATATTTGAACTCGATAAAACCAATCACTTAGACTTTTCTCACAGATCATCGTCCCACAACTTGAGTTTTTGACTGAGGAACAAATTAATAGAATTAACAACATCCGCCTATCATCTCAGCAAGCTGAAGATGCTCTTTCACAAGGACTGGAAAAACTTCAGCAGAGTTTGGTCAATGACATGGCAGTTGATCCATTGGGTGCAGGAAACTTGGGACTTCAGATGGCTCTTGCTATGGAGAAATTTGAGGCACTAGAGGGTTTTGTAAACCAGGTAACATAACACAAGATATTTGGGATTCAGGATTTGTTCTTATTCCCATATGAGAACCTTGGACCATCCAGTGTAGTCTATACAGTCAAGAAAAGTTCTTTTGCAAATTACAATAGAATTAATTGCATGCCATTTTATTTTATTTTAGACAGTATAAATTAGTCCTCATTTGAGAAATTTAGTTAAAGATAAAACTTAGACATAATTCTTTAAATGTTATTTTTCGATCAAAATTTGAGTTTTATTTCAATGATGTATTATGAACGTTTGCATTAAAAATTAGCATAGGCTAGCGAAGTAAAATTTTAATATTAATCAAAGAACAACACCAAAAGCATCTAATAAAATGTATCTAAATTTTATCTGATAGTTAATTCAAAGAAGAGTGGCCTAGAGCTATCCACTGAAAGATTGAAATCCTTTTAAAGTTTGACTAGACCAATCCTGATAATCAGGATCACTATACATTCTGTGTAAGTTACTTTTATATCATCGATATTCAGTATTACATTATTTATTTTGGCACATTATTACATTTTCTCAAATTTCAACCCCTGAACACCTCAGCTAGATCATGCCCTTCTAGATTAGTGTACTTGCAAAATGCAATATTTGGTAGTTTGTAACAACAATGACAATACATTGTTAACAATGAAATGCATTCTCTTGTCCACAGGCAGATCATCTTAGGCAACAAACTCTGCTGCACATGTCACGTGTCCTGTCAGCACAGCAAGCTGCTAGGGGCTTGCTGGCTCTTGGGGAATACTTTCACCGTCTTCGCACTCTTTGTTCTCTTTGGGCTGCTCGTCCATCTGAACTTCCATAACTTAGCCTCCTCAGGACTCCACAAATCACCTAAGATTTGCTACTTCAGCTTCAACTGGATCATCTGTTATGTGCTTTACACAACAGTTAATCGAGTTTCGGATATGAATATATGAGTATGAATGTGAGTTAATGCCGTGTACTACTACTACCACCACCATGAAGCAAAATATGTCATTTGCAGCTCTTTGCGAGTGTGCTTGTACATAAATAGTGTATCATCTTTAGTACTATTATTATGAAAAACTTTAGTATCTTTCGACTAAAATGTCTATTATTTTACTTTACTTTATAGGTTTATCATTTTCTTTTCCATTAAAATTGAGTTCACTACTGAAAGATTTACAGTAACTCAACTAAGCTAGAGCCCTATGTATTTATAAGGTTTATTTTTCATAAACTATTGAATTGAATAGTCCTAAAAATTTTACTGTCAATAAATAAGAAATTGGGCTTGAATGACCTGTAAAATAGTTATAATAAAAGACAAGAAACTAACCAGGTTTAACGATTTGTGATTAGATACTGTTAATGTATTTTAATTGAATTCTCTTTTATATATAGATTACTTGGGTTTTCTGTGATCACAAAAGAGAAGAAAAAAAATCATTTCAATTCAATGGCATAGTTAAGCTGTCTAGATACTATCGGTTGATGTTTTCAGAATTAATTTTTTTATTATTAAAATAATATTTGATCAATTAAAATTTCATCTCATAATCACATAACTCACTTTCCATAAATGCATATTAATTCTGGTGAGTTATGGAATATGAACTATTATTATAATGACAAAAATATATATAAAAGTTTTTAAAAAAATTATCTTATGCCAAAAAATAAATTGTCTCTGCTCACAAAAAGAGAGAAAGATGATTTGACACACAAAACTCTATAACCAATTGATCAATGCAAAAATTACAAATTCTCGATATGAAGTTCTATATAACACCAATCAGTAATTGTCATGATACAAGAAAAGAAGCCAAACTGTCCACAAATTTCCCGGGAAAAAATTAAACACAAAAGATTCGCGGCTCTCATTCATCAAAAATTGAGAGAAGAAAATCAGAATTTCCTCTTGGAGAAAAAAAAAAATTAAAGATTCTGTCAGATTCATGGGTGTTAGTTATCGTTGAGGGGCCCAGAACCTCTTCTTTCCGTTCACGTCTTCCACGACCAAAAAGAAAGGATTTCGTGGTCGTGTTAACTCGAATTGGCATCGAGTGTAGAAGAGCTTCAAAAAACAGAGGGAAACTATGAGCAATCTGAGAACCCTATGTAGACCTCAGACGGTATTCTCTTTCATTAGTTGCAGACACCAATTTCGTTCTAGGGTTTCGTTTCGGAACCCTAATTGCAAGTCGCGTTTGCCATCGCCGTCTCTGTATTCTACAATCGGTTATTGGGGCTCCAGTCCCTGGTTTCGCGCAAATCAGAGGAGAACTGTGGCCAAGGCGTCAAATTGGGCTGAACAGAAATCCCCATATGAAACTCTTGGTAATTTTTACTTTCAAGTTTGTTCCTTTTCCCTGACAACTCTCGTTGATGAGAAAATGGGGGGAAAAAAAGAACCGACTTTAGATAAAAAAAAGAAATCTTAGAAAGTGATGAAATGATGGGTAACGCTGAAACTGAATATTGCTTAGAAAGAGAAGAAATGAATGTCCTTTTTTGTAGGAAGTGAATAGAGATGGAAAATTCCTAGGCATACTTGTTTTGACTTCAATTGTCTACACTGAACAACAGAATTGGAAGGAGATGCTGATGAGGAGCAGATAAAGAATGCTTACAGACGCTTAGCCAAATTTTATCACCCGGATGGTATGTATCTTCATCTTAGCTACTTGTTTTCTTTAATTGTATCTGTCAACTTGATATGTAGTTATTTAGTTACGCTGGTTGTGGGAGATAAAGCCATGCAATTGAACTACTTCTAAGTTAGCATTTTGAGGTTTTACATCATGTTTTAAATGCTAGTCTGCTGGATCGTGTGACTTGTGAAGCGGTTATGGCTTTTGACTTGTGAGTGTTTCTCCAACATTGTGCCATACAACTTAGTTGTGATACAGTTTTTCTGTTTTGGTATTGTTGACTAAAGATGAATATGAATATGACCTCTCAATAGTCGATACATAATAACTTTTACATTACTATTGAAGTCTATGATGGTAGAGGAACCCTTGAGGAAGGTGAAACAGCAGAAGCTAGGTTCATCAAGATTCAAGCTGCTTATGAATTGCTTATAGATGGGGAGAGCCGAAGAAAGTATGATATGGATAACCGGGTCAACCCTATGAAGGTAATATTTTTATGCTGTTTGATTATCAGTGGTTGACTGCCCGTACTTGTTCTCTACTAGGATTTACTATCCATTCTATAAGCATGGCAAACTGAAGAACTTAAGCAAATAATTACTATATCATCTTTTGTACAGAGAATACATTTTGCATGGTTTGCTTTCCACTTTATTGTCAGTGTTAGATCCTAAAACAGAAGTGCCCCTAAGCCTTGCTGTGTAAACTTTTAACATGGATAATAACGGATACTTTCTTCTGCTGCAAGTAGAACACGTTTACTTGCTCTTGATCAGTGTGATGCTTTGTTTCCTTCAGGCATCTCAGGCATGGATGGAGTGGCTTATTAAAAAGCGAAAAGCTTTCGATCAGCGGGGTGACATGGCAATTGCTGCTTGGGCTGAGCAGCAACAGCGCGAGTTAAACCTTCGTGTGCGTCAACTTTCTCGTTCGAAGGTATTGAGATAGCTTGAAGATGTTACCATCTTACTGTAGACGCTTGAATGGTTGTGCCAAGAAGAGTATGTCATAGAGTTTTGTCATATTTTCTTCCAACCACAATCATCCTGACAAACTGGTTTTCTTTCTAGAGTAGTTATTGTCACTTCCAAGTTTGACTAAATTGCAAAAAATACATTATCCTATCTTCATAGATAAACATCACACTTAGTTGTTTTTCACCCAAGAATGGATGTTGGAAAGAATCAGCATCACATATTTCATCTTTTCCTTTAGCCATGTTTCACTTTTTTTCTTGCATCTGATTGGAATTACTTTACAAAATCTCAGATTGATCCAGATGAAACAAGGAGGATCCTGGCAAGAGAAAAGAAGGCTTCGGCTGAATATTACTCCAATACCCTTAAAAGGCACACACTTGTACTTAAGAAAAGAGATTTGATGCGAAGAAAGTCCGAGGAAGAAAAGAAGAAGGTAATCAGCCAGCTATTGGCAGCAGAAGGTCTCGAGCTTGATAATGATTCAGATAGTGATGACGCACTGTAGTCAACATGGGGCTCTGTTTCCACATCCTAATACTAATATTTGGTCAAATACCATAGTGTCTCAGCGAATCTAATTATTTTTTAATCATTATTATACAAAAAATAGATGTACATATATTTTGTTATTTATTTCCTGTCTCGAATGAGAAGTTAGTGTTTCAGTTATAGCTCTCTATAATAAAGAGATGAAAAATTTGGAGATGCCTGAGATAAATATCCAGCAACATCCATGTAAATGAAATATGTTATCACAAGTAGTTCAACAAAGAACTAAGATTTGATATTCGACTTGAACATAAAATTATAAAACTAAGATTTGATATTTGATTTGAATATGAAGTTACAATTGAAAAATATAACTTTACTTTTAAAATATGCTAAAGTGAAGAGTTAAAATGTCAAATATCAAGTGATTAATAATATTATGATATTATTGACTTGGTTAATTATCTGAAAAATTAATTTTATTTTAAGTGATTAATCATAATTAAACATGATTATATACAATTATTAACATATGATTAATTATAATATAAGGTTACAATCATGTATAGTAGTACTTTACAAGTATTTAATAGTAATCACATCGATAATTATATAAAATTATATTTATTCATTTTTAATCATTTACGAAATGAAATTAACCATATCTATATATGTAATTAATCATAATCATGTCTATGGTTGCTGGGCCAAACATGATAGGATGGTAATAAGTACTACACCATTAAAACCAAAATATTGTACCAAAGTTTCATGAAATACATCACAACTTCGACATTATTAATTGCGAAAAAAAGTATTTCATGTCTCAATTATTAAAAAAAACAAAAGGTAGTTATTTGAAAGTGTCTTTCATTTAAAAAAAAAAATAAAACTAAAAAGAAATATCAGAGTGAGTTAATTATTTGAAAGGTGCAAGTGATTTATAATTTATGAAATAGTAGATTAAGGATAAAAATGGAAGTAAAATGTGTATGCAAAAATGGCCTATGACCTTTATCTATAACTAATAGGAGAAGAGACAATCCGTGCTTCATAATCTTTTTTTAAAAAGTTGAAAACAAAATAATAAAAAAATAATGATGAAATGGTTAGTTATCAATAGAGTGAAGGGAAGTTTTTGATCATTTAAAATTTTGAAAATAAAATAAAATAAAAACAAAAAATAATAAATGGGTAGTTATTGAAAGAGAGTGAGATTACTAATCGTGTGAGAAAAAAACATTAAAAACCTCTTGACTTTCTAACTTTTCCTAAACAATTAAAGAGTGTATGATCCAATTAAGAGTGAAAACCAAAATCGATTATAAAGAGAGATATCCCTTTTATATGTTTTATATGTTGGTATAGATTTATCCATAACTAGAGAAAAGGAGGCATTATGTGCTTCTCTATTTTTTAAATAAATTAAAAAATATTTGTTTAAAGAGGATAAAAAATTAAGATGAAAAAGACATTGAGAGAAAAGTAATTTAGATTTATAAGTAAAATAAAAGAGAGTAAAATGGTTCATATAAAAATGGACATCAAAGTTGTTAGTGAAAGAGATATCATTTTTTATATAATGGTATAAATTATAAATTAATATGACAAAAGGGGTAGCCCAATTAACAATGAGAAGAATCACACGAAGTAAAATACAAAGTTCGTATATAGCCGAAGTCTGTCAATGGTATGGTTAGAACTGTCGTCTTCTGCCACGTTACTTTTCTTCTTTAGCTCCTGTATTCATACTGTCTAATTCTCCTTTTTATTCATGATCATGACTTATTGATGCAATGTGTGGTAGTGTCCGGAACTGAAACGGGAGAAGCCAAAGTCATTCCCTAGACTCATCTACCGGAATCCTCAATGTAAGTGGCATGTTTCTCCGAAAGAAGTTTAATCAGGGGATTCTCTACATCATTATCAGACCGACTCTTATCACACTGAACGGTAACCTTCTCAGCACTAGTTACAACCACCACTTGCTCCTTGCGAGTGTTGAGTTCATTTGCAACAACTGCATGCATCTTGTACTTTTCAAGAGCCCCACCAGCCTTATTTAGAAGAATGTTTGAATCTGTCTCTAACTGTCAGTCAAGGAGGAAAGGTAAATCTTAGTCAACCCAGTTACTATTTGTCATTACGCCATTTCAATGTTTGGATGTCTATTGTCAATAAACAACCAAATAACCTCTCTAACTTGAATACCTGATCACTATCAATAGGTATTTTGATATTCTCATAAGGGATGCTATTTCAGATCCCCAACTGTTTATTTTCATTTCTACAAATCCTTAGAAAATAGGCACCAATTATGTTAGCGTATTTTCTATAACTTCTGAAAGCACACTTGCGGATACACTAAACTCATTTTCACTCATGTTTTTTGAGCAAAACTCTCAACTTACCAAATCCAGACGTTTTTGCTATGTCAGCAGTAATTACGGCAATTTAGTATGTCAAAATGGTATATATGTCCATATAGCTTTTTTTTTTTTTTACTGTTTTGCTAACCACTGCCTATCGAATTAAGAATGGGAGGTTTAAAGTCAAAAGCAAAGCTTTTCAAGTTCCAAATATATTATTAGATGCAATACTTTGTACTTGAAAATTAGCAGAACTGTTTTTCAAAAGAAAAAAAAATGATTTTTGACCCTTATTTTTTTTTCTTCCAAATACCCTCAATACCTTGAAAGATATGCAGAAAGCCAGAGGAGCCCAATCTTGCCTGAGCACCGACAACATTTTTGGTACTTGAACTAGTTTCACATCCAAGAGGTGAGATCCTGACTGAATTTTGTGCTCTACCTGCAGGATTAATATATTTATCATGACATTGCCAGGTTGAATAAATCTTTTCATTGAAATGTTATCACTTCGACATAGCATTATAGTGCAACTTTTATGTTAATAATCAACCATACTAAACTTTTGATTTTTCCAAAAATGTATGTCAGCCCATTTAACATCTCTAAGATATTAATCTAAAGCCACAGGAGTTTTAATGTTCCACACACTTTTGGTACATGTAAAAGAATCCAATAGCATCTAGAAGATGCTTCCAGATCTAGGGTATTGCAAGTTAATGCTTTAAATGTTGTACTACTACTGAAGAACATGACCATCACAAACTCCATGCCTTACTGACATAGAAGCAAGACTAGCAGAGTATGTGACATTCTTTACACATGAGGCTACAGGCAAATTCTCTAACTAATGTCTCACTCCGGCAAAGATTAAGATTATATATTGATGCAAGCAGTAGTGGAGAATTCTTCAAAGTGATATATTCTTGACCTTAGCCAATTACACAATCATTGAAACCAAGATTATAGTCAATACGGCATTAAAACTTTCATGGAATGAAGAACTAACATAGGCATAGCATATTTATACCATGTCCTTCCAAGGAACATAATAGTCAGACACTGCAGCAGCCAGATAGAACATTGCACGTGGACCAATACATCTCATTGACATAGCAATCATTTGCAACATCTGCAGAAACAAAAGGAAATTTAATAATGACTAATCAGAACTGACAAATCTACTGATTAAACACATACAAGAAGTTACAAAAAAAGGAAGTGGCTCTCTATCTTGTAATCACTTGAAAATCAGAAGACACGATAATTCTATCCACCTCCATGGTTAATTGCTGGTAAACACGCAGACAGACAGAATGATAGCATATGCAATATGGGAGATTTCAGCATTTGTTGCGTCAAATGAATACTTACAACTTACAAGCATCGACTAGGGCTAACCTGGAGATACTCAAATATGGTGCTGAAAGGAAGTTTCAACAAGAGACCCCCTGCCACTGCCTGCAGTAGAAATAAAGCCCCAGTGAGGCCGTAATTATATCCAAATAATCTAAAGCTAATGCAGAATTAATTAAAAGAGACATTATGAAATCACAGAAAAAAAATAGAAGATAGATGTAAAGCACAAAATCCAATCTACATATCATACAGTATGATGATCCACAATAGCCCTCTTCACTGCTTCAGAATAAGCCTCGCAAACTGAAGTATAACAGAATTCATCAAAATCAAGATAACTGCAGTTTTTTTTTTTTTTTGTATAAATAGCAATACAAGAAAGAAATGAAGTAGGCATGTTAATTAACAATAGCCAATGAAAATATAAATCTTCGAGTAGCCTACATCAGAGGACTAGGAAAAACAAAACAATCAACGCATGTTTTATAAGGAAATTATATAGGTAAATTTAAGTAAGCCTTCAATGACTCATAATTTTATCTATCTTATGGTGTGAGAAAAGAGGAAAACGGAAACTTAAAACCTTGAATGTTTGACTCATTAGTGGGCTTGAAGCATTCAAGTAAAGGATCATCGGGTAGGGATCTACAAAATGGCTGGAAACTTCTCCTGCACAAATTATTTATTGTTTATCAACACATAAATAAAACACAAGACAAGGCTACATTGCAGGAGCAGAAACTCACCTCCGGTACAGAAAGATAACAGCATATCCAGCCTTCAGAAAATACCTACAACACAACGACCAATCTACTCTTCACAAGAGAATCAAAATAAAAATTTACAGAATCTTTACTTAACAACAAGTGCAACATACTCAGTGGAAGTGGCTCCTCTGTGACCTGAACTGAAATTGTCAACATAACGAACACACCGTTGTTCTAATGGGGCAGTGGTGCCACCAGAAGTCACACAAACAACTCTCCTCGCTTAACCAAAATCCATCACACACCATTTAGAGAAACCACACAAAACGAGAAATGCAAAAAAGCATGCTGCAGGAGGCAGCTTACCTGATGATGGAGAAGAATTGCGTTGAATGAACTGATTCAACTTTTGAGTTATTTCATCACTGTTCTGCAGAGGAGGAGCTGAATCGAAAAAGGCTTTGACTTGCGCTTCAAGGGTCTCCCCCGGAGCCTCCAATCCCTTTGCCGCATCCATCAAAATCAAATTTTTCTACATTCACAAGTCACTTATCAGAAACACGTGCATCATATCATAAATTGCATGCAAACCCATCGTTTATCACACATTTCCCATTATCCAAAAATCTTAAAATGAGTGGAATCAAATAAGGAAATTGATATGTATCATTTTGGTATACTAGTAAGATGAAGCAGAAAAATAAATTATGAACTCAATCCACATCAAAACACAAATATAGCCCAAAACCCTAGCTCCCAAAAGGGGTGCGTGATTTTCATCCAGAAAAGTTCGGAGTTGGAATAACTCACCAAACAGAGTGAAGGTGAAACGTTCACAGAACGTGGTGCATCTTATAATTGTGCCATTGCCGTGGCCCGTGGGACTTATGGACTATGGTTATTCCTCCCAACATTAATAATATTCGGTGCCTAACAATAAAAAGCCAATTTAATTTATTAACAATCACAAAAGGAATCAAACCCAATCTTATAATTATCTCTGTTTGCAAGTGAAATCAAAATAAAAGTAGGCTTCATCTCCAAGCAGATTAATTCTTATTATCAATTTAAAATATAATAGATCATATTTATAGATAAAAAAAATAAACATATGAAAGTTTTACAGAATTATTTTATAAATTTGAAATTTATTTCAATAAAATAGTTTATAATTTATATATATATATATATTATTGTTATTTTGTATTTATTTTAATTTAGAAATTATTTTATTTATCATGACATTATTTTATTTTTTATAAAAATATTTTACTTTATTTTACATTTATCAGCTAATATTACTAAATATTTTGGATTCAATAAGATACTAATTTATAAATGGCTAGTTTTTCAGCTGTCAACTCTTAGTTTACAAACTTTTTAACAAACTTGTAAATTAGTATATATTACCAAATACAGTCAATAGGTGAATCAAATTAGTTGGATGAAAATGCGTGGTTTAATTATTTGCTGAGGTGATCAAATCATCAAATTATAGAGTGGTTTGTGGGCTAATAAATCATCTAGTTTATAGATAAAAAAAATTATCTAGTTTGTTTACTTACACTGTTAGTCTACGTTATTATGATTACGATAACGGACGACAGGAGTGGATTTTAATTCCTTTCAACAACACTTTCATTTATATATATCTAACTTCCTCTATTACTCCAATTTAAATGTATAATCACATGTACCCACCTTAGTGAATAAATGTATGTAACCAACTTGATGACAATGAATGTCTTCCTACTTGGATGTTTCAACTAAAATATATGCCAGTTTGTCACTTTCAATTGCTTTATTATCTATTAATGCATATCTATATACTCTATATACACAATTCTTAACATAATTAGCACACACTACTTGTCTCTCTATACACACTAGGTAGCACACACTTTTTAAATTTTAACTTATAAGCATAGTTTTAAAAACCGGACTGGTCATCGAACCGGTTAAGATATTGGGTCAGTGGGTCAAAGGTTGAACCGGTGGGTCACTGGTTGAACCGCATGACTCGATTTTTATTTATTTTTATTAAAAAATATTCATATTAAATATATTTATACTTATAAATTTTAATAAATTCATATCTTATTTAAATTTAAATTTTTCTATCTTATTTAAAATTATTTTTATTTTTATTTTGTAAAAAAATACATAAAAAAATTACATGTTAAACGGTATATTAATACAAATTAAAAATATAAATAATATGTACATATATAATATGCTTGCAATTAATATCACAAAATAATATATGTAATATTTACATAGATATTGAATTATTAAATATATAATTTAAAATTAATAATATACTATAAAAGTTATTTAAGTTGTATATATTGCAAACAAATATATTAGAACAAGTAGTCATTGTTATATTTAATAAGACTCCTTGCTTTTTCATTAAGAGATTCAATTTTCATTATTATTTTTGTGATTTATGGTCCCTTAAAAAAATTTATAAAAAAAAAAAAAGTGGTTGAACCGGTTTGACCCACCAGTTCACCGGTTGAACCGGAAAATTAACCGGTTCAATCCGGTTTGAAACGGGTCGACTGCATAACCGATCCAACTTCAGATTCGGACCGGCTGGACCACCGGTTCCCGGTCCGACCGTTCCGACGGCCGGGTCGGTCCGGGTTTTAAAACACTGCTTATAAGTACAGATAAATAAATATATACTCAAGTAAGTTTCATACAAGTTGTTTCAAACTTTCCTTCATAATTGATTTCATAATTTAAATGTTGCAACATTATTTTAATATATATTTAGAAAATTCAATTCATAACATTTATCCTTACTCGTATAATTAAAGAAACGAGACAATTATTGAGGTCAAAAGTAATAATAATAATAATAATAATAATAATAATAATAATAATAATAATAATAATAATAAATGATGTATAATAGCATAAAATAGTTGGTTACTAATATTTTAAAGGTAAAAATATCCCTTATAATATTTTTAGGGGTCAATTTGGTCCCACTTTATTTTTGGGTTCAATTTGGTCTCATTTTATTTTATAATGCTTTAATGTGGTATTTTCGTCCAAATTTCATTGACAGTGTTAGCTTATGACCATGTGGATGTCAACTGGATGTCTACGTGGATGCCCTTGTATGCCCTTGTTTTTCTTTTCTTTTTTTTCCTCTTCTTTCTCTTCATCTCATTTTCACGTTATTCTTGTTGTTTGTCCCATGTCCCCATCTTGACAGTTTTCTTTTTCTTATCCCCATCTTCCCATTTGTAGGATTTGAACTTAGGGTTTAGTGTGTTACAACGAAAATGTCACGGATGTCATCCAACTCATGGCCAATCAACTCAATGAATTCAAGTGGGTCTAAAAGTCATGGTAGTATGACTTTTGTTCCCGGTTTCTATTACGGGGAGGTTGTTGTGTTGTGAACAACAATGACGTCTACAAATGCTGGAAAAATATTTTGGAGTTGTCCAAATTATAAGGTATGTTATTTATTTTAATTATTTTTATTTTGCCCTAGTTTCTGGTTTGGGGATTTTGTGACTCGTTAAAAATTTTTGTAGTTCGGTGATGCTGAACAACAGGAATGCAACTTTTTCAAGTGGTCTTTAAAGGAATATGTGGATGAAAGGGATTTGTTGATAGCTAGACAAAGGAGAAAGATGAACAATCTTCATAGTTTTCTGAAGTCAATAAGATGGTAGATAAAGTTGTTGATAATTCTTGTTGGTTTTCTATTGTTGTTGAATTTGGTCTTAATGTATGTAATTTGTAACAACTTGTTCAATTTGGAAGAGTGTTTTATTTGAAGTAGGCAAATATGATGTTCTCTATGTAATGACAAGTTTGGGGATGTTGTGCTTGGATATTTTTGTAATGTTTCTTTAGTTGTAATTGAATTTATCAACAATTAGTAATGATTGTATTGAAGCATTAACTCGTGTTTAAATTTAATTTTTAGTTTTTGAGAGTAAAACTAGTTTGCGGATATTTTTGTCCATTACACTGTTAACTCCATCACCGCACCAAATATCAACGTGGAACCAAATCAATAATCATTATATATATATATATGTGTGTGTGTATATATGTATATATATATATATATATATATATATATATATATATATATATATTAAGCTCTAAATGTTCAAAGAGTTGAATACATATGGTCTGAAAGTTGAAAGAGTTAAATACATATGCTACGAAAGTTCAAAGACTGATAACAGAAGTTGCTTGTGTTGAAGCAATATGATTAAGAGAAATCACTGAGGAGGAAAATCATCTAGATAACGCTAAAGGTGCCAATTATACATCTTGTCTACCATATAATTATAGTGTTGTTAGCGTTCATCCATCTCTTGCAATCGATGATCCATACATTGAATGACTGACAGGATATCAACATTATCTACCTATACATGCAATTGTGTAGTGAAATGTTGGTCCTATATCTCCCTTTCCTCTGCTTTAGGTTTTACCTCCTTAGGAACAGGTTGTTGTTAGGTTTCATCAATCAGTGACTCCAAGGAGAAACACCATATGGTTTCATCCTTGACTGTATAGTGTCAGTTTGGTAATAAGTGATGCACTCTAGTTTGACTAACAATGAAATAAAATATGTCATCATTGTTCTTAGTGATACACTGCGTTGCATAACAAGTATTAAAATTAATGCTTCTAGGAGCTCATGTATCCTACAATTGGTCCAAAAATGGGGTATAGTCTAAATGTTTAGTGATTGAAGTTATCAACAATATTACCAAATCCAATGTTTGAAATGTTTTGTAGTTGTTTAGCCAAATATGCACCATAGTTGATCTTGTCATCCCTACTTTTCATCATTGCCCATATAAACAATAGAACAATTAAGCATACCTTACCTTTTGAGTCGCCATGACCTAGAACAGTAGATGCAATAAACTTGTGCACAATTCTAATGGCAGGGTGGCGAAATGAAGACGAATCGCATTTACCAGCCAGCCATTGTCCATGACTTGTTATAGCCCCCCAAAACATGTATGGATTAAATGATCTTGGGTTTCTTATTTCCCCTCCGGTTTGAAATCCAAAAATACCATTGAATTGCTCCAAAGTGAGATGATGCTCTATATTAAAAAGTCTAATGGAAATCAATCCTGGTCCACAATTTGCCCAACTCAATATTTTAGTGTGGAGAAAACTAAGAAAATCAAGAACAATCCTTTGATAAACCTTATCCATATGGATGGTCGCAATATTCCACCCAATGTTTGTTAGCATAAAATTGATGTCAGAACGTATTCCTAATTGACACAAAAATTGAAAATCAAGATACCTTATTGTAGTTATTGAATAGGTACTCAAAGTCTCATACCTATTTCGTTGCTCATTGTCTCGAAACTATAGAGGCGAAACAACGGGTACTTCCATGTCTTCAAACTCAGGTTTGGGATTGGCAGAAGAGGACCCATGAGATGTACGAGTTCGCTTTGGGGCCATTGTAAGGGTTTGAGTTTAATGGGTTAGGGTTTGACAAAAAAGGATGTGAGAAGATGTTATGAGGGAGAGAATGAAGTTTAAAAGTCACGGGTTCTATATTTATAGGAGCAACCTATGGTTTTTTTTTGTGTCTGGGGAGATTCACGGGTGAGATTCAAAAATCACGGGCGTGATCCTCGCAAGCATGGTTGGTATCAATTTTAGCAGATTTTTTATGTTTGGGGAGATTCATGAGCATAATTCAGAATCATAGGCGTGATTCCCCCACTTTTACTTGGTAGTTATTTGAATTAATTCACACCGTCGAAAATCAACAAGCATGATTCTCGCGGCATGGTTGGTATCAAAATTGTCAAAATAGGTATCATTAATTGGCTTTTTTGTGTTTGGGGAGATTCACGGGCGTGATTCTCGCGCTTTTACTTAGTAGTTATTTGAACTAATTTACGCCCGCGAAAATCACGGGCGTGCTTCTCACGACATGGTTGGTATCAAAATTGTCAAAACAGGTAGCATCAAATGGTTGTATATGATTGGTTTATATCAAAATTGTATATGTTATTATTAATTAGTTGTATCAAATTTTTATTAGTATAACAAAATATTGGTAGCAGATTTTTATTAGTATCAGATTTCTAACAAATTAGTGTTACCATTGAAACAAAATATTGGCATAACAGAATATTGTTATCATAGAATATTTTCATAACATTGTCATAATGTAATATCACCATATACACACTAAGTTTACATAACAAATTCATTACGGTGCATTAAAAGCACACAACATTTAATCATGGTATCCAATGTGATGCTTTCATAGGCAACAATTTCTCCCTCAGTCCTCTTTGGTTGGCTTTGTTGGGAGGATTGAGATGTATTGATTGGTTGTTGGGATGCTTACCTTTATTGTGATGGTTGGTTTGGAGGAGTTGGTTGACTTTGTTGGGGAGGTTGGTTCGGAGGAGTTGGTTGACTTTGTTGGGGGTTGGTTTGAAGGAGTTGGTTGACTTTGTTGTGATGGTTCAAATGGTTAGGATGGTTGCATTTGTGATTGAGTTGGTGGTGGGTTTTGTTTGCAAGTAGATTTGTCCATAACCTTGGCACCAGTTGCACTTCCTTCGATATCCATTTCTCCTCAATTGAGTATCATCCTTCTTTGATTCCCAAGGCTCCAAATTTCTTCTCTTCTTAGGCTGTCCTAGCATCTTCTTCGAAGGTGGTGGAAGAATATCTGTGCACAATGTTTCTGGCCATAGTTGTCGATTTATTGGATATATGAGTGGTGCATATACAACTTCATATGTGGCCCTCTTGTAGTAATCTGGTATGTAGTCCTTCAGATCCAAATTCATATATGTAACAGGCCCAGTTTGACTCTCATCATTCACAACAGGCATAGGCACAAACATACTCTCATCTGTCACAACAGGCCCATTGTCATCAGCCACATGTAAGCTTTCTATAATTTTAGCTTGAGATGTTGGATGTTCAACATACAATCTAACATTTCTAGACTCCTTTGCTATGTTTATCATTTCAATAGCACCATTATCATCATGCAACAACTTCAACCCATCTTCAAACTCTTCCCCAGCCACAAAATACCACATTTTATCCACTATCAGATATCCCATGTCCTTTAAAATATCAACAATCTCAAAATAACTCCATCCATATGGGTCACAACTCCATGTGGAATCATGACCCACATACTCTAACTCCCCTTTATTTACAAATTGGCCTCCATGATGGACAACTACCTCAAAATAATCTTCCATATTAAGCAAGTCCTAAAAAAATACATAAACAAATATATATTAAACTTTACATACTAACATAATTAAATGTACATAAAAATCAGAAAGGGCACATGCACAACAAACAAAATTGCAGAAAAAGGGACCATAACTAAAGCAAAGGAATAAAAAATCAAAACCTTTTTTTACAAAGAGGGGAAACCTTTAGTAAATACAACACAAGGGGACCACCACACCCAAAGAAAACCAAACATATAAAAAAATATTGGGACCACAACCAAAGCAAAAAGGGAGACCACCACCAAACATATTTAACAAAATGATGATCATTCGCTTCATTAAAACCAAAACACCCACAAACCCTAAAATGCAAAACAAATAGCCTAAACCCATCACCTACTCAATCTCAAAGGAATGAGAAGAAATATTCCTAAATAGCAACGATGAGAAACCCCATGTTGAAGAAGACGTACTTCGAGAAGAGAAGCACATGACAAGAAGAACTTGGAGAAGAGGAGCTTTGGAGAAGAGGAGCCTTGGAGAAAATGACCTTGGAGAAGAGAAGCCCTAAGGTGTTCTTGAAGAAGAAGATTGTCCGTGCGGTAACTTGGTGTTGGTGAATAACCTTTTCACCGTGGGTCATTCCATGTAGGTATGGGTCGTCATTCCATGTAGGCATCCACTTGACAGCCACGTGTATTGATTTTTAATGACGAGGCATCCACGTGGCATGAAATTACTAATCACATGATATTGAGTTAATACCGCCAGTGAAATTTGGACAAAAGTTTTACATTGAAGTATTTTAAAATAAAGTAAGACCAAATTAGTATTTTTTGCCTATTTTAAACTTATCTACCAAAATAATAACTTTTTAAATTTTTTTATTAAAATGTAAATATTTAAATATAAATTCACGTATTTTATATTAATAAATTATTGTGAAGGCTCGTCATACCCTACATTTTTATTTTCAAAAAAATATAACATGGAAAGACAACTCTTACCCGTTAGGAAAACTTTATACTTATTTTACAAATTAAAAAAAACTATTTTAATATTTTATTCAAATCTAATTAAGCAATTGTAATTTTGTAAACAGTTGTGATTATATAGGAAACACTTTTATAATAGCATAGGTAAATTAATAAAACATCGATTTACCAAAAAATTATTAATAAAATATCGGAATTTTTGTTGTATTTTGAAGGGGAAATAAATAGTACTCCGTAAGACAGAAAAAAAAAAGTCATTGTAATAAAGCCCAATAAGAAACGGGTACTATAGAAGCCCAAAAGAGAATGGGAGATAACTCGAAAGAAAAATAAAAACAAAAAGGAAATCCGGATCGGGATTGAACCCGACGTGAATCGAACACGCAACCTTCTGATCTGGAGTCAGACGCGCTACCATTGCGCCACGGATCCGGTTGGTATATAGTTCAATTAAAAATATATTGAAAGTAAAAGATAACTACTCAGAGACAAGAAAGATTGTATTTCCCGCCAAACTGAACGAACTAGTGGAGTGTTTTCTCTCTGAGGAGAGAGAATCTTGGAAATTTGGCAATGGCAGAAAGTTGGGAAAGCATCGACGTGAAGCTGTCTCCGGCACCAGATCAAAGGATTCCGTTGATGAAATCAAGAAGAGGACGGCGGCGAGGCGACACCTGGGTGGTGTCGGTGTTCGTAATAATCGAAATCGGAGTTTTCATAGCCACCATGCTCGTCAACGATTGCTGGACCAATTCTCACGGCGATTGCATTCTCCAATCCCTCGGAAGGTTCTCCTTTCAGCCTCTCCCCGAGAATCCTCTCTTAGGTCCTTCCCGCTCCAAGTCAGTCACTACCTTACTCTCTTCAATTTAGGTTTTTCAAGTTTCAACACCTATTCATAGGTTTGCGATGAGTGTTGTAATATAGCGGTGATTTTTCACTAGTGCAGGTTGGATGAAATGGGAGCTCTTCGACGGAGCCTTTTGACGGAGCATCACCAAACGTGGCGTCTTTTCACATTTCCATTTTTGCATGCTGGACTCTTCCACCTGCTCCTCAATCTCTGCAGTGTCATCTACGTCGGAGTTCGCCTTGAGCACGAGTTTGGTCCCGGTAATGTTTTTTATTTTTATTTTTTATTATTGATTAGGGTTACACATTTCTATTTCACATGTCTATTTTGATCAAAGTTTTATCACTCCCAATGCTAAGTTGCTGGGATTGTAGCTGCATTTTTTGCAATTTTCCACGTATCAAAAGAAAACTATATCACAATTTTTGGTATAGAACAGGTATCTTTCACCGTAGTCAATCCTGATTGGTTATTAGCAATCAAGTTCTATAAACTTTGATTTGATTATTAAGAGAGTTTCGTTCAATTGATTGAACAAGGTATGTGAGTGTATCGTAAACTCTTTTGTTGTTCGTGATAAATAAAAAAAATCGATTTGATCAAAGAAATGCCAAAAAAAAACTTAAATATATTTTAGAAATTTGAATAAAATGCCTATGAAAAGATGATTCACTTTTATAATAATTATTTTGAAACTCATATTTAAGATAGTTTTTGATTAGTTGTTGGTATAAAAAATATAACTAAAAAAAATTAAACTCACAATTGCAATTCCTAGTTCTGATAATTTTCTTAGTTTTTAGTTTTAATTCTTATATTTTAAAAAGTTTAATTTTAAGTACTTATACTTTTTAAATTATGAATAGATCATCCCAGTCAATATCATCATGGTTACATTTTGATTTTAGTCTAAGTCCATAAAGGAATCAATTTTTAATTAATAGTTTTGAAACTACAGAGACTTAAAATCAAAGGTTTTAAATTTGTACCCTGTAAAACCAAAATTAAGAACAATTATAGAAATTAAAACTGTATTTAAAAAATGACATTTTGAAATGCTTTCATAATGTTGAAATTTATGAACGCTTCCTTCTGTTTGCAGCGAGGACTGGTATAATCTATGCATTATCTGCTTTTGTGGGTGCATTGGTGGCTTCTCTTTTTCTCCAAAACATCCCTGCTGTCGGTGCTTCCGGGGCTTTATTTGGATTACTAGGAACATTGCTTTCCGAAATTGTTTGGAACTGGAAATTTCATTCCAATAAGGTGTATCTTCGTCCTCTTCTTTATCTTTTCTCACTGTTTTGCTTGATTATTGATAATTTTCTTGGTTGGGTGCAGATTTCAGCAATAGCAACATTAGTCTTTGTCTTTGTGTGCAACTTCGTCATTGGTTTTCTGCCTTACGTAGACAATTTTTCAAGCATTGGAGGTTTTATATCAGGATTCCTTCTTGGATCTGTTTTTTTACTCAGTCCTCCGCTCCGACCACCAGTAGCTCCAAATAAAGGAGGTCTCATTGATTATGGTATCAAAAGTTACATCAAGTTAAAGTTGAAGCAAAAGCTGGACAGACCAGTTCTCAGGATTGTTTCTCTTGTCCTCTTCGGCCTATTGTAAAATGTTTTTTCCTCTTGTTTTTATTCATTTAATTTGCATGGTTAGCTGTCTTTTATAACTCGTGCTTGATGGCATACGTCAAATCTTAGATGAGAAACTTCTATTCGCAGATTGGCTGGTTGTCTTGTGGCGGTTCTTCATGGAATCAACATCAACAGTTATTGCACATGGTGTCCATATGTTGACTGTATCCCTTTTACAAGCTGGCACTGCAAAGACACAGAAACCTCTTGTGAGGTATACAGCTTACTCCTTCCATTTCCCAAATTAAAAATTCCCAACAAAATATCTATAATGAATTAGGATGAATTTTCTGTTACAACTTCTTATGAACAATGTACCAATACCAATATGAATTCTGATAAATGGAAGTCCAAGATAAATGTTGCATTATTGGCCAATTTCTCACTAAATGAAAAGAAGTCAATTGTTGGTTTGTTAGCATTAGTGCTAGACGCTAGTGCTAGGTAGTCAAATCACACGCCGCAAAAAAGTTAAATTGAATTAAACCAAAAGGGAATGCCAACTCACAAACAGAGACGCGCTGACTCGAACTTTTGGCAATGAACCAGCCAGCTACTGTATTTATTGTTTACCGGTGCCCCAATTAAAGATAAAAAGTCACCGGGCATGCAATATTATTATTAATTTTACTGGAAGCTGTTATTCCCTGAAAAGTAATGCTTCATTCATGCTAATGCTGGCTATGTGCTATAACTGCAGACAATGGTGAGCAATGCTCAGCTGACAATGACCTGTATTGGGAATGGCAATTTCCGGGTCTTTCCTTTTACCAATATCTCTCGGGCAAGGATTAATGATTTGTGCTATGTGATATGCTGACGAGACAAGTTGTTTCAATCATTCAATGATTCTTTTGGCACCAAATTACCAGGAAATTCTGTGTAGCTGATTTCAAGTTGGCGTTTCCCTTTTTTTTTTTTTTTTTCCTGAATGTATAGAAACAGGAGCTTAGTTAGAAGCTCGAGGAAATTGATTTGACACAAATTAGAGTTTGTGGAGCATGTCTTTGGTTGTAAATACCACCCTGATGTAACATTTCTAGTTCCTGGGCGAGATGAATCCTTTTCATGCTTGTAGAAAATTGAAGTTGAGGAAAAATAAATGATTTCATTTCTTAATTGTTGTTATTAATAATTACAAAAATGAGAGATTCACTTAAAATCTTGGTTTTTCTCACTTTTCCTGTTACAGTCATTGTCATTTTCATCCTTTTTTTTTTTTTAAATCTGAGTGACAGCTGTGACACTTGGAACCACTTTCCAGCCCCTGAATTCTGGCTTCATCTGCTCAGTATCGAACTTTCGCCGTAAAGCATAATTATATGCGGGTGTATCTGTGACCTGTGAGTTGTTAAACCCGCCGCCGCCGCCGCATTTATATTTAAAGGCCACCAAGCCACGGTCAGTAGACTAAACAATCCACCACAATGTGGGCCTATGCCTACATTTGGCTCAAAAATAAAATGTGAAAGCCTTGTCTGAGCAAAGGAAATCGTAGATTCATCAAGTAAATGGTTATGTTTGTACTCATTGCCAAACCAAAACCAAAGAGACGGATAAGCTGCCTTTATCTTCTGTGGTACAGTAGTTCTGAATTTTGGAATATAAAACAGTCGTAGGGCTCCACTCCAAAAGAAAAAAATAAATGAAAATTAGGCTGAAAAATTAAAGTCTTTTTCATTGGTCCGTGGTACTGTCGGCTAAGACACTTGACCAATGTACCCCAAGCAAAATCCATTAATATCCGCACATATACTTGAATATGTGCATTTTCTATATGTGGTCTATACTTGAACTGTGCATTATGTGGTGGCAGCAGTGCAATCCTAGCCCACTTAATACCCACTTGAAAGTGAAACAGCTGGTTGCTCCTCCGTTAAATTTTAAGTGGAAAACAAGTCCTATCTTTAATGGGTCTAAACTCTAAAATATAAAGTTGCAAGTTATGACCGGGACTGGGACAAGTTAAGGTCAAAATTTGAGGCACGTAAAAAAGGCAACATGTCCAAGAATCGTTGTCAAAATGAAGTGCAGTGAGTGTGATCTATCCAAGTTGACCCAGCTAAGCGGTAACTGAATGCACCAAGACATGTGGCATGATATGAGGTAAAGGAAGCTAAAGGTATATTCACGTAATGAAAAAGGGTTGGCGCATTTACAGAGCCTAGGAGCCGTAGCATTCCATTCCTTCCAATTTGCATTACCATAAATGCTTAGTTCATCCCCAGAGTCCAAATTATTATCAAGCCTCCCCCTTTTTTAGGGGGTGAAAAAGATAACAATAGTGGGAGGGAATCCTGAAGTGGGCAATAGGTTATATCATCATAGACCCTAGCTAACCTAAGGTATACACTAAAAAACTTGATCATTGGGTCCTTTCTTCTCATATAATAATTTCAAACCCTTTTACTTGTTTCTTAACAAGCAATATGCTAATTCGTTGACCCTTAACAAGTCCATTCCCTTTTGCTTCTCTTGTGTCTCACACGCGTTCTCAAGCACACAGGCAAAACTAGTCCCACCTACACAAAGTGACCAACAAAGGTGTTGAAATGATGGAATTTTACGTATATGCTTAGGAAGCCATGAGAGGTAGATCATAGTGGACGTGTTTCCGCACAGTTATGTCCTTCTCTTTAATCTTCTCTAATCTCTATGCCTCCCACTGTCTCCTTCATAACTATATATTCAAGTAATTGGACCCAAACATTAGTCTCTGCATCATCAATTGTGATTAATAAATAAAGCATACAGTAACTTTACCACTCCACAATCAAAATACTCTATATAGATGGAGTTTAATTACTCACAAATTCTATTATAACGCTCAACAATTTTGGCCTATTGAACAAAAGGCAGTCTCTAAAATAATTGCACTACATGATTGGCTGCAGAATATTTATTTTGTTTTCACTAATTTAAACTGTTTCATGAATGAAATATGAAGTGAAGTTTTTTCATAATAAAGTCATTAGGTGGCCCAGACGAAAAGAAATCTTTAACTTTAGAAGGTTGAGAATATAATTATCATCCAGTTGTTTAGTTTGTGGATCCCACTTGCCCCATAATGCTAACTACATATTACGCTTTTACCTTAGCTTTAGAATACTTTTTCCCTTTTCTCAAAATAAGTTGCTCATGTTTTGTGATAAGTTACTAGCTAGTGGGAGGAGGAACATCTTCATCCTACAAATACAAAACTGCCCTTTATGATTAATTAATTAAAAAAGTAAATCAAAGATTAGATTGTTTGATTTAATTGCTATATGTGATGCATAAATGTTCTAAGTACATGTCGAGGCACTTATGGCTCGATGTTTGAATCGTACTTGAGTTGATCACGCTATCAAATGCCCGATAATTTAGGTTACAGACTCAAAAAAGAAAGAAAGAATGCATAAGACTCATCAATTCAACAGAAAATAGGTAAACTAGTTAAGTATTTGGTCAATTTAATTTAAAAGATTAAGCAATCCAAAATCATAAACTTATAGATAAATAACCAGTTTAAAGAGATTTTTCTTCTTTTTCTTTTTGCAAATTTTAATATCTCTGTTTTATTAAAAGTATTTAACCAAATAAAGACCTAATGTCAAGTTATAAAAATTCACATTTGAGACTCACTTATAAATTATTATTATTATTATTATTATTATTATTATTTACACATTAGTGGAAGTAGTGAATGGTTATCAAAAGATTTAAATAAAAAAATTATATTAAAAGACTTTTCTGACCTTTATTAATTATTATTGTGCAACTTTTTAAAGAGTTAAATGTCAAAAATTACATATACACGAAAAGAAGGAGCGACCTTTATATATAGATATAAATTATTATTATTATTATTATTATTATTTAGTTTAATATTAATTTTATTTATTTTACAAAGGCATATATATAATATAAAAAAATCATTCTAATTTAAAATATTACATTTTCTTAACTTTTACTTAAGTAGTGTTTTAAGACGTGTATTTCATGTGATAAATATTTATGTTTATGACATATACAATAAAAAATAGTTTTTATATGTAAATTTCTTAATTATTAAAATTCATCATAAATAAACATCTTTAAATATATAAATTATATTTTGTAATTGTAATGAACAAATAAAATTGTAATAAAAGGTTATTTTTAATAAAAGACAATTTTCAAAAATATTAAAATTTGATTTAGAAATAGAAATAAAAGAAAGTAGATTGAAGGTGATAAATTGTTAATAATATTTTTTTAATAATCAGGTTATATTGGGGTATAAATCTTCTAAAATAACAGAATTGCACTTTAGAAAATAAAGTGTAATAATAACTTTGATTTAAAAAAATCAATAATTAATATTATAATTAATTTTAATTTTATTTTATAAAAATTTGATTTTATTACAAATCTTAAAATCAACAATTGTGAATACATGTTATCTTCTAAAATTTATCCCTTCACTTTTGAGGAGTTAAATCCTATTATCAATACAAGTATATATCCATTATTTTCATTCATGTTTAATTTCTGCCAGAGAATTTAATTAACCTTTTTAATGAAGTCTCTTATAGATAATAATGTTATTGTTAATAAAATTATATATATGTATATAAATAAAAGCAGACAAAACAAAAATAGTTGAAAAAAATGTTTAAGGCGGTCACAAGAATCACATCTGAAATGTACATCTAATAGATAGAAAATAATGAGAATATTTTAATAAAAATAATAATAATTAAGAGACGCGAGAGCTTCGTCTTTTAAGTTATGCATTTTAATTTATAATGCAGAAGCAATATATTCGTATAAAATATTATTTTTTGGGAGTGTATATAAAAATATATTTATTTTATTATTAGAGTTAAATTAATAAAATCGTAATTAACGTCTTTATCAATTGAACAGTAGGTGAGTTTTAAAGTTGCAACATGAGAACAATTTGTGGTTGGAAAGATAAAATAAAGAAGGCAACCTATGTGAAGAGAAAAGGTTGAATGAGTTGCTATTTGACCTAATGGATATGCTTATGCTCCCACTTTTAGATGCAAAATTATGCTGTTAAACAGATAAATTATTCAAAATAATATGCTATTCCTGTTCTACACTTTAATAATAAAAATTAAATTAAATGAACTATAATTCAAACCGATATAAACGATAAATAGCCCCTTGTGGAAAAAATAATCATTTCATATAATATACATATAATACAAATATTTTATTTTTATATATATATATATTATTTGTACAATTTGTTATATTAATAATTACTAAAGTTATTATAATTATAATTATAATTTTAAAAATAATTATTATAAAATCTTTAATTTTATTATATATACATATAATAATAATAATAATTCATGATTAAATTATGGTTAAAACAATTATATGGTCAGTATATTTACATTAAATTCTAATATTAATATACAATTTTTTTATTTAAAATTCAATATGCATAAGACGAATGAATTATTTTACATTTAAAAAATATGAGAAGTTAAACTTCGTAAACGGAAAAAATACATAATATTAAAGTAAGAGCAATGATCTAAAATAACTTGAGACGAAAATACACAGTAAAAAAGCTTTAAATTTTGTTTCACATATAATAATATAATCAACATATTATATATATATATATATATAAAAAGAACAACTCTCATTTTACAAATAAATTTTATAAAATTAAATTAAACTTAAATTTATATTTTATAAAATAATATTAGAGTTTTATTTTTATAATTATTATTAAATCTATCAAATCACTCGTTATCAAGTTGTTATTGAGTTACATGCAGATATTCTATCCTACAAAATCAAAATAGTGTATATATAATTGAGGGCAATTTTCATGAACTTTATGTTAAAAGTTAATTTTGTAAAGCTAATTTAATGTCAAATCTATGTTATAAGATAATATTTGAGTTTATCATATAATTATTGTTATTAAGTTTACCAAGTTATACACTATTATGTTGTTATTGAACTAAATGTATATATTCAGTCTAATAAATATGATCATGCTCAAAATGTTTTATCCTCAATTAATTAATGGGAGGAGGTATTATTTCGAGATCTCATATTGACTAATTATATAGCCAAAATAGTTTATCAAGTATGAGACAATTTATATTTTTAAGTAAATCTTTTAAGATTGAATTTTGTGAAATCTTTCTCTTAAAATGCAATTTTTTCTAAGCAATCATTATATTATTTATAGTTGTCTTCGAGGGACAAAGCACCAATTGAAATGAGAAGAGAAATTATAATTTTGTTTAGATAAACTTTTCTAGAAGTGTTTATATAAGAGAAGAAATTAAAAATGA